TTCGTCGATTTTAGGTAAATGGTGCACCAGACTGAAAATGTTTGCCCGATTGGGACAAAATTTTGCACAGCGTACGGAATTTAGTCGAGTTTGACATCTGTGAAGTTTTGTTGAAATCGGTCCAAATTTATATACAGCACACATATATAGTTTCGTCCGATTTTATGTAAATGGTGCACCAAACTCCCAATAATGGTCCGATTTAAAAGAAATTTTGCACAGCGTACTGAGTTCAGTCAAGTTTGGCATCTATGAAGTTTTCCTTGAAATCAGTCCATATTGAGATTTTAGGTAAATGGTGCACCAAACTTTCAATATTTATGCGATTGGCATGCAATTTTCTTATAGATTTCAGAATGTCATGTGTATGGTTTCTATTGGCTCAAATATCTATGTAGATCACATTTGTTTTTTACCCGATTCCATGTTAATGGTCATCCAAAGATGGTATGTCTCTTCTATCAACAGGATATTGTACACATTATCATTTTTTGTTTGTACCCAAAGTGGTAAAGGGTATCATATAGTCGGCCCCGTCCGAATTTCGATCTTTCTTTACTGGTTGTCTTTGAAAACATTCATCTTTCTGTGACATTTTTACAAATTTTTCGCTAATTTTAAGCAAAATAAATGTACTATTTGCTTAAAAATTTCTCTCTTTCATCCGAAATGTTGTCGACATCAATTTTGCTCACTACATTTTTGAAAACTGCAAACAGGTTTTTCCTTTTTGTTACCTTCTTTTCGCCATATTTCAAAAAGTTCGATTTCTTATACGGAGGTTTCCTAGATAAAAGAGGCATTACTCGCAAAACGCAAAAAATCGCAACTTGAAATAAATTTAAATTAACTCATTAATTATCACTTAATTTATGTGCAAAATTTCAAAGAGGTCATATTGGGTCATTTTTTTAATAGCTTACTGAAAGTCAATCTACCAAATTACTTTAACTTTTTAAAGTCTTCATAGACTAAAGGGTTATTTTCAAGTATAGTGTCGCAAACATAAAAATGTTTTGATTTAATATAAATATACTCACTTGTATCTATATTTTCCATTTTACACTAATTAATTATTGTAAACACAATCGAAATAATACGCACTCAAAGTTGACTAAGCCCCACAGAGATATAAGCATATTTATAGAATAAATTGTATTGAGCGACATGCACGGCCAGCTGTGTAACGGTACTTTATGTTTAGCACTAATTAATATCACGTGTCTCTATTTTATAGTGTTCTAAATACAAAAACAACAACAATTCGCGAAGAACGACACTTTGATTTTTTCCAATTTTGCACAGAAAACTGGTCATTTGACCTATAGTGCATTGATGCGAAATTTTGTACAACGTACCAAAATGAGTATAGAATGACCATATATTCGACCGACTTCATGTTTATTGGGTTTCAAATAATCAACTAGTACCGGATTGAGATTTGCTTTAAATCGATTTACATAATCTTGTCTCATTCTCTATCTACCCAAATGAATAGTTTAGTATAGGTTACAGAATGACATATTTATGGATTGATCTAAACCGACTGTTCACTTTTAAATATAGATCACATATTTTAGTTCATCCAATTTCATGTCAGTGGTCCTTCGAAAATGCGACGCACTATGTCGCGAGTTCATATAAACAGCGGCCAAAAATAGAAGTAGTTATCTTAAGTTAATGAAATTTGGTACATGTGCTTATTATTAGCCTAAAAAGCAACTGACAAAAAATTGGATAGATCGGATCGGAATGTCACCCTTTTTGGCCTATAAAATCGTTAATATTCAAACAAATTCAATGAAAATTGGCAATTTAGATTTATATATGCCTATAAAGTAACGGACCAAAAACTGTGTAGATCGGACCAAGATTTGATATACCTCCCATACAAAGGGAGGTATAAATTGTTTATATTCATCCAAATTCCATGAAATGTCTTCGTCCAAATTACATCAAATTTGGTCGAATACAGTAATAGGTGTTGTAATTTAGTTGTCGGCCTATATTTCAGGTACCTACCATACGAAAAGTCCCTAAAACTGTAACTTTCTGTACTATAAAATCGATATATGCAGCTAAATTAAGTACAATAGTTTTATTTTTGTTATTTTTATTATAATATAAATATTTTTATTATTAAATAAATATTTCATATCCTTTAGCAACTACTGTTTACTGTTTACTGTTACTGTTTTAACATTCACAAATTTTTAAAAACATACATCATATATATATAATATTGTCTTCCCAAATGTACGATTTAGTATCATCCACGTTATAATCTCGGGTCTTTAATTTATGGCTGTTTAAGGATATTACAAGGTCGTAAAATCGTATTGTAATATAAAATACTAAATAAAATCATTATTTAACTCGGCTTTAACAAAAGTTTGGGATGCTACTAATTATTTGTTGGCATGACTTGTTAGCATCTTGTGAAAGTCGCTCAAAAGGTATTGTACTGCACTTTGCATATCCTATGCCATTAACTAATATTTTTCTGACAAACTTTCCACAAAGGTAATTCATGTGCGACCTCTAAATTTAGATTATAAGATTATGTCTCAAATGATGTGATAAATAAGTATAATCTTCAAACTTACTGCAAATTTATTTAAAAGCTATATTTTAAAACCAATTCTCCCATATCTCCGCTTCGAATAACGTTTTTACCATTTATTATATTTTATGTAAAATGTTGTGTCATTATATGTTCTGAATAAATCTTCTCCTTCCTATTTGACCGTCAATAACTTATTTAATTGTATACATAACATATTTGACCATTCGCTTCTAACCATTTCATGAATATGCCACATTTTTTCATAAGGTGGTCACCAAAAAAGTTGAATAACTCTTAGGACCGCAGGTCTCCGCAGGTAATTTTTTTTATTTCTTAAATAACACACTTTTCACCACTCAAATAAAAAAAATAGATCTAAACTTTTTTTCTGCTCCACTAATTTCAAAATTTGTTTTAAAAATGTTATGAACTAAGTACTACAAGTGTGTATACACCATATGACTGTATACACCATATGATATCTATATACATACAAACTAAAGCGAATCCAAGTTTTTACATCCACAGCAACCAAAATAAAAACTTTTATAATAATCGTTAATTTGAATATTCAAATATTTGAGCATCAGAAAAACACACCCATTTTTCGAAAATATGGTAAAAAATCAGTTTATAAATAATTATCAGATTTGAACCTTTGTAGAGGCAAAACTACTCGACATATCGATAAAAAAATTTCATGTTAATTCTAATTGGAGTGTTTTCTATCAATCCTCATCAAAAAATTTGTCCTCCCTGGTACATGGTTTTGACAATTTTTGGCCGCGGTCGTGACACTGTGCGACGTCTGTTAGAATGCATGTGTTGAATATACCCAAAGTGGTCACTTAGTCCGCCCCGTACGACTTTACTACTTTCCTTACTGGTTTAAGTTTCTTAATAATGGATTAAGTTTCTTAATAATAGACCTGTGTAAGCATGGAAACTGGTCCCCATGTTTACATTTATCAATAAGCTCGTTCTCTACGTTCTCTTTTAGTAACTCATTTCATATGGCGGTTTTTCATTTTCAACTAGGGATAAGTACATTTTTGTATTGAAAAGTCTAACAGTATGTTTATGTATTTCGAAAGAAAGGTTTCTTTCGCTTTCAATGCGAATGAAAACCAATTTTGATTCATATAAAAACATTTTACAGGCAAATGAAGTCGAACGATAAACAACTCGAAAGAAAACGTAAACGTATATTTTTTTTACAAATTGGGTTTATGTATGACGAAAAAGCTGTCATCATGCGAACGAGAACTATGTCCCGAACTATGTACCAAAATTTGAAGCATTTTCACACAACACAATCTCTATACAAAATAAAAAAATTTGGAACATGTTTTATAGGTATCGCTTGGATTTTTCATTGATGTTTTTAGAAAACAAAATTGTACAAATACTGATAAATTTCATTTAACATTTTTTTGTTCATATATTTGATTGTATTTGTTTAGTTTGTTCGCCATTTGACTCCTATTTATTTAACATTGTTTACAATTAATTTAGTAGTTTTTCGCATGGTATACGTAACGGAAAACGAACGATAGCTTTCGAAATACATGAACGCTTTTTTAAAAGAATGTGAGTGAGTTACTTTCTTTCGCATTGATTTTCGTTCGAAATAGAAAAACAGGCTGTAAAAGTCGAAGTCGATTTTTGATCTTTGAGATAATTGCAAAGTCGACTTTTCATTTTCTTCATTCATATTTGGTTTATTTTTATAAAGCCCAAACAATATTAAACGTTTTTAGTGCGTTTTTAGTGGGCGTACAACGGTAAAAAATAAAAACAAACTGTTTTTACAACATAGTAGATTTGTTGTCTAAATATATTGCAGATCAAACATTATATATATTTGCCTATAAAAATGTAGTATTTTGAAGATATTTGAGGGATTCCAACCGAAACAGCTGTAATTTCGCTTAAAGAGTTCTTAGAATACCTCCTCGCAGATTTTTTTTATGTGGGCCCGTGTTACGATCTATTCCCCTAGTGGTCCACATTACCTGACATTGAATTATTTTATTTAAAACTTATTTCTGGCTTAAATAAAAATTAAAACTCACTGATTGCAATTACAACTAAACTTACATTTTTTTGTGGAAAATATAGAATCATATAACTTTTTTATATTTGAGAAAAGCAAATTGATTGACTCTTGAGCTACAAAAATCTTCAAATCACAGATTTTAATAAGAGCTTAACTAAATTTTCAACATTGCAATTATGTATTCAAAATGATGTTAGACGTTTGTTTTTACTTATTAGGAAAACATATATCAAGGCACCATTGTCATATTTCAAGCATTTTCTAAGATCCACATTAGACGCATAGTCCACATTAACCGAAGTTCCTCTACGTATTTTTATGTCGCATATCTCATCCTGTTATTTTAACATAGTATAACTATTGTTTCGTTCTTAGATACATTTGACAAAATCTTCCAAAAGTATTCAATCGAATGGAGAAACGTAGACGAATATTTAAACAAAAATTATGAAGCAATTTCCGAGTGGGTCACCCAAAACGAACTCGTCAGAATTCACAAGGATTTGAGAAATCTTGTCGATGAGTACATGAGGTAAAAAGTTTTTGCATTTGTAAATATGAGTATATTATTTTACATGATGATATTTATATTAAATATGTCACTCCGTGTGCAACACTTCGATATATTTGTTTTGATCATTATAGTTTTGATCAGAATGGTCTTATCCGCCCGTGTTTTGAAGATATAGGTCTTAAAGTTTACAATGGCAGTTCATTTACTTAAACTGACTGCTGAGAAGTTTTATTTACCCTTTGTTTGCAAGCGAAAGGACAGTTGATTCCAATCATTAATTAAAAAAACGAACTAAAAATGTTTTTGAGGCAATTAAAAAATCTAATCTCATGCTTTTCGAATTTTAACGTTCAATCCATTTTGAATTTTCAATCGATTGCTTTGTTGGTACCTGTAACTACCACTAGCACATTACACTATGTCGCGAGTTCATATTAACAGCGTCCAAAAATAGAAGGAGTTATCGTAGGTGGATGAAATTTGGTACAAGTGCTTATTATTGGCCTAAAGACAAACAGAAAAAAATTGATAAAATAAGATATCAATTGGAAGTGAAAATTGTACTATGTATATCAAATTAACATTATATGGTACACCGCATTACCTGCACATTTTTTAAAATCACCTTTAATGGAATTTCAAATATTTTCTCAAATATCTCTTAAATTGTTATAATATTATGTAGCATGTTAATTGTAAAATTTCAATTTAATCGTATAAAAAATAAAAATTTGGCAATCTAAAATCAAATGGGTATACCACATTACCATTACATAATCTAACACTGTGAAACACATAAAATAATTTTGTCTATGCTCTGCTAACCCTCAATCGACTCGCTGAAGGGATCACCTACCCCTCTTGCAGTGGCGAGCAAAAGTGTACGAATGTTGTGAAATTCCTCCATTTAACCCTTACAAAATGTTTCAAGGCTAGTTTCATATTTATTATATTAAATTTATAATAAAACCAGTAAGGAAAGTTCGAAATTGCATACTTTTTTGCAACTTTAATACACATCACTGAAAACTCAATTAAATACCATCTACCAAATTTCGTGTAAATCGAAAAATCAAATTTCGTGTAAATCAGTGCACCATTTACATAAAATCGGAAGAAAATATATAAGACCTATATCTAAATATGAACCGATTTCAACAAACCTTAACACACATCATTCTTGACTCAATTGCATTCGCCATACAAAATTGTATCCCTATCCGACAAATATTGGGAGTTTGGTGCACCATTTACAAAAAATTGGAAGAAACTATATATAGGAGCTATATCTAATTCTGAACCGATTTCAATGAAACTTCGCACACATCAAACCGAACCTAATTCAGTATGTTGTACAAAATTTTGTCTCAGTCGGACAAATATTAGGAGTTTGATGCATCATTCATATAAAATCAGACGAAACTATATATGGGAGCTATATGTATATCTGAACCGATTTCAACAAAACTTCGCATACATAAGTATGGACCTAATTCAGTGCGATGTGCAAACTTTTGTCTCAATCGGACAAATATTGGGAGTTTGGTGCATCATTCACATAAAATCGGACGACCCTATAGATATAGGCGCTATATCTGTAGGGTTCGTCCTTGGACCAAATAAGTAACCTGTGTCTAATTTTATCCAATTACTTTGTTTACAATTTAACATGGGGAGACGGACGGACGAACAAACGGACATGCATAAATCGACTGAGAAAGTGATTCTATGCATATTCTGAAAAGGAACCATGTGTCTATCTCGTTTCTTTTTTTTCTGTTACAAACATAAAAACTAAGCCATAATGCCTGTACCACAGTGTGGTGAAGGGTATAAAAAAATATTTACCTACCTTAAAAATATATACAAGTCAAGAAAAAAAGTATAAGAAAAAAATTAAGGTATTAAGAGAATTTTAATATTTTGTCCACAATCTATGTTCTTTTTTTAAAACATCTGATGTGCCTTGACATATTTTCCACCAATTTTTCATAATTTCATCTGGAATTTAGTTACATTCCTCCTGTGCTCTTTGCCATACACGGTCAATCTCCCTTTAAAAACGCACACAAATGTTCGATAGGATTAAGACACGGAGTTTGCGCTGGTCATTTGAGCAATTAAAATGCTTGGTTAGACAATATTTTGTAAATAATTTTCGAGGTGTGCTAATTCTAAAATGTAAGGATTTCGAGAAGTCCGAATCCAAACATTTTTAAATTTCTAGGAATGGGGGAAGAATGGGATAAGAATAATTTCCAATATTTCCTCCTTCGTATATACAAAAAGGTAACATACTCTGCTATCCTCAAATATAATTATATTTATGTAACTTTCTATCGTATTTTCCATAATAAAAAAATTAACATCATTAATGGTCCATACATATTTTTGTGCTCAAATATTTTGTTTTTATATAGACTGGAATATGAATTATTAAAAAAGTCTCGGTGTGAAGACAATAAAGAGAAATATAAGCCTTCAAAAGACAAGAAAGCTAAGTCCAAAATACAAAAGAAAAGAAGAAAAATACTGGATCCCACAGAAAGCCGAACAATTGAATCAATGTTCCAAGAACTACGAGAAACGGGTATTATAGAAGAACATAAAAAAACCTCATTTGGAGATTTCGTAGGCGACTTCAATTTTATTGCAGATGACACCAGAGATGAAAATAATATTGTGTATGTGTCATATTTTAAGATATTTGATACAGAATATTGACTAATAACAACGAGAAATTGTATAGACATTGGCTTTGTACACAATCATTTAATGCACTTAGTTGAAATTATGTTATGTTTATTATTTTTAGGACAATCGGGCACGAACTTGCTGATATGAAAGCTGTTATTGAAGAATGTTTACTGGGTTACGGGGCCTTCGTGGTGGATAAACCAAAATCAATTTGCATTATAGGTCCTGCTAACAGCGGCAAGCGGCTCATGTGCAATATAATTGCAACGGAATTGGGTAAATATGTCATCTTTTTATATTTAACCAGCAGGGAAGAATTTCTGCTGGATCATTTCGTAAGTCCTGACTTTTATGTTTACATCTGTTATAAGAAGTTTTTTTGTACTTTTCCTGCACTAATATTATAATGTTTTAATCACCTGTTTATACCTCTTCACACCAACCGATCTTTCTGGAAAATTACTATTTGTTGATACATTGTCCACTTTTAGATCTTTTTAGAAAATGGCCAAGACTTTTTATACCCTTCAGCACACTGTGGTACAGGGTACATATGTTTGTGCATATGTTTGTAACAGGCAAAAGGAAACGAGATAGACACGCGGTTCCTTCTGAGAATATGCATAGAATCACTTTCTGAGTCGACTTACGCATGTCCGTCTGTCCGCCCATGTATTTTTGTGAAGAATGTATGGGTCGCATTTATGATCCGATTTGGCATATGTCACTTATTTGGCCCAAGTGGGGTTCGTCCTTGAAATTGGGAAAAATCGGTTCAGATTTAGATACAGCCCCATATATATTTTCGTCCGATTTAATGTAAATGGTGCACCAAAAACCTTATATATCTTTCGATTTGCACGAAATTTGGCACAGCGTATTGAATTAGGTCTGGTGTATTGTCAAGCTGAAACAAATTGAGACAATTCACTTATCCATAAATTATTATTTATTTCATAATGAATTTTGCATTAATAAAAACTGAAAAAACCAACACGATATCTTTATATCAGTGGTAAAAAAAATTGAGGGCCTCCACAATAGAGCGGTCACTCACGCGACTTCAAATATACATTGCTAATAATGGGAAAACTCTGCGAGTTGTGTGAATATTTTGAACTTTTTATATTCTTTACATGAATAAGAGATATCAAGCATTATTATTGCACTTTCAATATTTAAAAATTTGGTATATCCGTTATTTGCGAAGGAGTTTTCTCGGTCACTCACGCGACATTTTTGATTTTGCAGTTTTTATTTCTACAGTGTCTGCATTTAAAGAATTAAAGAAACAAATTGTTCGACTTTGGTTTACCTTTTTCCGGAAATGGCCATATGTGTTTGAAACCATTAATTTCATATAAACGTAAACGGTGTTTTTCGTTTTTCGTATAAGTGATGTAAAAATATGTGTTGTTTTTAAAATATTGTGATATCTGACCATTCTGGTGAATGCTTGAATACAAATATAAATCGGTGTCGAATATTAGTTATAAATATTTGTTGCATAAAATAAGGACAAAAATGAAAAGATATCCCACTACAACATTAGATAATTAATTTTCAAAAGTACTTACTGCAGGTACGTCCATTGCAGACGATTTAAAGAAACATCTGCATTTAAGTGCGTGGACTCCAAACTCTATCTATAAATTTGAGCCACAAATAAACAAATGAAAACCAGTGAGCGGAGCAGTATAGTCAGACGGGGCCGACCATACGATACCCTACACAACTACCACGGAAATCTAACATTATGCGGATGTTTTTTCGGAGCCCGGGCAATATTTCGTGACATTTGCACCCACTTGTCCGATTAGAGGTCAACAGCACCTCTTCCATACACTGACGTATTTTCCGAATATTTTTAATATTCAGTACAACCCTTCTAATTACTTGTCCATATTGCCTCCACCGATGGTTGTATGGTGATGTTCGGCTTATATATGTGGTATAAAATTAAAGGTCAATCACTCCTCTTGGATATGCTATCAACTTCTCGGGTCTATGTCCTTCAGGAGTAAATATATACGGCATAGAATACAAATTTTGTCATTTTTCTCACCAAAGTCAGGGTCCATTTGACCCGCTAAATATTGACCGATCTTTATCAAAACAGCATTGCTTATTCTATATCCCGATCCCCCCCTCCATGTAAAAATTTGCGATGTTCGGGTCATAATTGCGGCCTCTGGAGCTACCAGAAAAACCGACAAAAATTTAGTATTTGGTCCATTTCATCCCCTAAATATTAACCGATCTTTACCAAAAACAATACGGGGTCTTCATTGGGCAGAACCCATCCTACATGCAAAATTTCTTGAAGATTGGTCCATAACTGTGGCCTGTATCGTGTTTACAAATTATAATGGACAGACGGACGGACACACATGTCTAGATCGACTCAGCTAGTCGATATGTGATCGGTGGGTCTAGGACCAATATTTCCCTGCGTTGTGTAGGGTATAAAAAACATTTTGAATAAAATGGTTTGATCGGTTTCTTGGATCCTATATTCAAATTACGTTAAAGTCGTTTTTGTAAAGTCTGCATTTTATTTTCAAATAAAAGAAGGTGCGGAAATTGCCAAAATTACCACCAATTCCCAAAATTGCTTCTGTCGCACCCTTTTAAAAATTGGGAATATTGTTTTGAATGCTTTACCGTCCACGAATACCACAAATATTTTTTTTGATTTAATTCGAATCTACACTACATCAAAAATGTCCCTACAAAATTTCAAGTGAAAATCTCAAGAACTTTTGAAAATATAGCCGATTTATTGTGTCAGCATCAAGTGACGGCTAAAGGGCTTCTCAAACTTTAAACGCGTTTTTCTCTTTTGCGAATGGCGGGCACGATAACTCAAAAACTAATAACCCAATCGACTCCAAATTTTTACACGTTCCTCTTTGAGTGTATAGCTATCGTATGAACTAGGATAAAGCCAATCGGTGAAGATCTTCCATATTTTTTAACTTGGTTTTTGGTAAAAAATCGGCGATTTTCCAAAAAATATTTTTTCAAGGGTCCGCCATTTTGTTAATTTTAGAGCGAAGTCAATAATCCTAGTTCATACGAGAGCCAGACATGTACTCTTTCTAACACCGTTGGAATTTTCGGATTCCGATGTTCCAGTGAGGAGTTATCATGCCCGCCATCAAAAATAAGGACTTTTCTTTAATTACAAAAAACAACAACAAAACAATAACAAAAATTGTTTGTAAATTATTTTTCTTCTCTTTTAAATCTTCAAATATATATGTGCAAAGTGACAAACCTTGACAAGCATTGGTATTGATTTACCAGCCCATTGAAAATCTTGAAAAATTAAAATCGAGAATGGGTGGGGTTCCCTTAAATGCATCGTCGAAAATTCGAGAAATTCCAAGTATATTCCAAGTATAATACAATTAATATTTCGAAAAGCAATTATAATGGAGTGCATGTCAATTGTTTCTCTCACATTTTTAAATTAAATTTAAATGCATCGTCGTAAATTCGAGAAATTCCAAGTATATTCCCTACAATTTCTGAAATTTGCTCATTCTTTCGAAAAAAGATTTGCTACTTTATGTAGAATATTTCGAGAAGCAAATAATTCTTTCAGGAAATAATGGTTAGATTTAATTTGGATTTATTTCTAAAAATTAATTTATGGATGTTAGATTAAACATTCTTATTACATAATCGTTATATTAATCGTATCTCAACATTTATATACATACGTATTAGGTATTTAGATTGTTGCGTAATAAATTGTCATTACAGAATTGTAAAATTCTATTTTTATTAGGTGCAGCAGTAACATCGACAAAAATAGTGACGAGGAGTTCCACAAAATATACATGGAAACTAATATTATTGCCGACATATTTGTGGTAGAAGTTTCAGAGCCAAAAAAGGGTTGGTATATAAAAGTACAGGTCAAATGTAATGCGTTCGAACTCGGACTCTTTTTATAGAAAATAGAAAATTTGGATGAACTAAATGTAAATTTGACAAGAAGATTTCTGGAAAAGGAAAAAATGTTTAAACATTATCAAATGTAGTGCCAAAAAGAATTATAATATTTGATTAAAGAAATCATAAAATTTTATGAAAAAGATTTTCGAAATTGTAAGCAGGAAATAGAAACTGATGTGGACCTGGGGTTCACTATATGAAAAGCGAAATATCCCCGACCATCTTATCCACTTGATGCAATTGTAGTATGTGACGAAAATCTATTTCCAAATATAAATATATTGTTAAAAATCTTAACAACGATACCGGTAACCACAGCATCGGCTGAGAGAAGTTTTTCTACCCGTCGAGTTAAAACGTATCTGAGAAATCAAATGCAAAGCCCACCCTGTTCAGCTTTTGGTCTTATGCCTATGCATAAATGAACTTTTTCTAAAAATAGAAAAAGTTCAAAAATAGATAAAATGTGAATTTTTGTCTTCTTTAAATATGAGAAGAGTAGATGATTAAGTTTAAAAAAATGTATTCATTTGTACGCATGTTAAATTTTTATATGTTTTATAGAAAAAACATGGAAAAGCTTTACTAATCGTGAAAATGTTTTAAAACTAAAGACAATATTTTATGTTCATTAAGCTCACAAAAATATATAACTTCATTACTCTTAATGTATTGCGTATATATTAAATGTTTTGCATATTAAAAACCAGTAAGGAAAGTTGAAAAGTTGATGAGATGTTAATATCTACAATATCCTATAGATAGAACAGACATAAATTCCTTAGAGGACCTTTGAAATGGAATCGGGCGAAATTAAATGTGCTATCTAGATAGATATTTGAACCATTAAAAAAACCCATATACATACCATTCTGAAATCAATGACAAATTGCATGTCAAACGGGCAGACTTGTATTCTTTGGTGTACCATTTGTATGAAATCGAGTAAAATTATGTATGGGAGCTTTTTATAAACACATGGACCAACCGTTGCATACACCATTTGTTTTTTCTTATCACTCTATATTCAATTTAATTCCAGCTGACAAATTTCGTGTAAATCGAACATAGGTCCTTCGGTGCACCATTTACATAAAATCGATCGAAAATATTAAAGACCTATATAAAAATCTGAACTAATTTCAACGAACCTTATCACACATCATTTTTTCCTCAACTGCATTCGCTATGCAAAATTTAGGCGTATCATTCAAAAAAAGAAAAAAAAATCGGACGAAAACATATATGGGAGCTATATCTAAATCTGAGCCGATTTTAGCAAAACTTCCCAGACATCAGTCTGGACCTAATTCAGTACTCTGTGCAAAATTTTGTCCCAATCGGACAAATATTTCAATAGAGTTCGTCCTTGGACCAAATAAGTGAATTGTGCCAAACTTCATCCAAATCGTATTTTAAATGCGACCTGTACTCTGTTTACAAAAATACATGGACGGACGGAGTTGCGTAAATCGACTCAGAAATCGATTCTATGCATATTCTCAAAAGGAATCATTGGTCTACCTCGATTCCTTTTGCCTGTTACAAACATATTCACAAATACATAATACCCAGTACCACAATGTGGTGAAGGGTATAACAATAATGTACATTTCAAATCAAGTCTTCTATTTTTAGATTTTTTTTAGTTATGTGATCACCATTTCTTTCAATATATCTGAAGCTTCTTTGTCCGTAACATGTTCTATACGTTTTGAAACATATTTCATTCTCGATATAAAGTCCTGTGTCCTCATCATCGCATCTTTGAGGTATTCCTTTTTTTTCGTGGTCGATGAAGCATTCAAGAGCATCTTTCCAATTTGTAAGAGAGGGCGACAGAGGTAATTTTGGGACTTGAAAGGAGGGTGCGGAATAAGATGCCAACTTTACAAAAATTACCTTTTGCTAAATCTGAATATACGACACAAGAAACCCAGGGCCGGGTATAATTTAAATTGTACAAAAGGCAACTTTTGCTAAATCTGAATATGCGATACAAGAAACCCGAGGACGGTTAAAATTAAAATTTTACAAAAATCACCTTTAGCTAAATTTGAATATGGGATACAAGAAACTCAGGGGCCTGCTGGGTTTAATTAAAATTTAAAAAAAATCACCCGTTGATAAATCACAATATGCGATCAAAGAAGCTTGGGGTCGGGTCGGGTATAATTAAAATGAAAAACAAATCAATTCGAACACTTTTGCACATAAAAGAATAAAAATATTAAACGATTTTTAATATTTTACCACAAGTTATGCTCTTCTTTACCCTTTTAATGTGGTTTGACACATTCTGCATCAATTTTTTTGATTTTATCTGGGATTTTGTTACATTACATTTATTTAAGGAAAAAAATAATTTAGAGTGGGGAAAATTACGAATTTTGTTCACATACAAATTTATATATCATATTTATAACAAACCTAGTATAGATATCGATGAAAATCCTATGTGGGAGATATATCTAGCATTTTTTGGGACCTTGGTGCACCGTTAACATAAAATCGGACCAAATTATGTATGAGACTTACATATCTAAACTAAATCTGATCTAAAAGTAGATGTATATTGTTATTATATTTTACATAAATATTACTCATAGATATATTTATGAAAAAAAAAAATAACAAAATGATTTTTTTGGGCCCTGTATATATTTTAGATGCAGTTCTTCTCAATTTGAGTCCAGAAAAGACATATCAATTTGCCGACAACGTCGACTACTTTGTTCAAATGGTTATGAAAGTAGCAAAGGTATTTCAGCCTAGTATTATTTTCATTAATGATGTTCATCGATTATTCTGGAAGAAAATCCCAAAAGATGAAATTGACAAATGCCCTACATTACTTCAGAGTTCCATTACTAAAAAAATTCTTAAAACAATTAAGAAAGATGATAAAATTATGCTTTTGGGTACAAGTGACGCACCATGGAGCGCCAAGTCTAAGTTTAAAAAGGTATTTCAAAAAATAATTCTAGTGCCAAAATCGGGATATGGATCAATATTTCTGTTATGGATGAACCAAATGTCGCAATTAATTACTGAAGACTCATATGAAGATTACATAATATCTGCATTAACAAAAGTGCTTCGATCATACAATACTGGAGAAATAGTTCAAAATGCCCAAAATACCTTGAACTTGAAAAGACGCATGAGATTGTCACGAAATGCACTTGATCCAATGGAATTCTTAAATTTCTTTATGCAAAGGCCCGAACCATTGTTTCCTCCTCAAGAAAAGGTAATTTTAAGTCACATTTTTTATTTCAGTTTTGCGTTGAATTTGTCTTCTCATACTTCAGATTATTGCTAAATTCGAAAAGTGGTACAATAAAACGAACACATACAGCAAATCGAGAGCGGCATTTGTCTTAAAAAACCAAATGAAAAAAGATAAAAAATAGAATTTGTTACCTGAGTTTTTAAAAGAAAGGTTTCAAAATAAATTTTGTAATAATTTTAGTACCATTTAGAACTTTTCGTTCATCTATAGCGAATAAAGAAATCCACCTCCAAACCTAACGTTTCACATACTTAATTTCAAAATTCTATATTTACGCATCTTCCCACTACCTATTGTACAAAATTTAGTTTCATTTAGTTCCACACACACACATAGAACACTTTAGTATTTATTTTAACAATGACCTTATACCATTTTTCAGAGTATTTTTCTTTATTCGTTCGCCCAAATCTCAAAGACCTCACATTGAGTACATTTCGTATGCCTTTAATATGATTTTTCGAAACTGTCTTCTTTATTCAAATGTGCATGCCAATACTGAACTATATACCAAAAATTTCAAAGTTCTATAATAACAACGATCTCCCACTAATGTTCAGGATTCAATCTTCTTTTAGAACATTATATAACTTTTCGCACTCTTAAGGTACAAATGATCAAAACCACTATCATCTCACCCGTGCACAATACTTGCATAAAATATCAATTTAGTATAATTCAACATTAGTCACTTTTATAGTACATTTACATTGTACCGGATTTGGTTAACCCAGTGGGTTTCAATTGTCAATTGCATTGTATACATGTCAAATAAATCCACATAGAGTAGGTTAACCCTGTAAAAAAGTTCTAATGTAAATGCCGTTTTATCATATTTTATACAAAAATACTCGAATTTCAAACTTTATCACTTCTAAACACTCAATACCCATGTACAGTTTTTAGTACATTCCATGCATTTTAGAACGCATTCCCAAAAATTAATTGCGCAACTCATTTTATTATTTTTTTTTAATTTTACAATTCTATAAACTTTCATTAGTTGAATGTAGTCAAATGCAATGATTTTGTTTCAACTATCCGAGAATAAAGCGAAGTCCGGATAATTGATATATATTTCATTTATCCGAAGTTCGAAATTCCAAAAATATGGTCCAGCTCCCTCAGCAAATATTGTTTTTGAAATTGTTCCAAAGAAAATCCTTATTCTAAACACAGAAGTTGTTGTGGTACAATAATTTTCCGGTATTGTTATTTAAAATATCGAATGATCCATATAGAGTCAGAAAATTTCTGATTTATCCGCTACTGTTCCAAAATTAATCACCACGTAAAACTAATGTTGGCAAAAGGCATCGCATATATTTTTCAATAATGCAGTGCTTTTTTTCGACCAAATATGACCTTTCAGAAGTTATTTAGATTTCAATTAACCGATTTTTCGTTTAAACGGAGTTTCATATGCGGTGTAAAATGTGTGAAAATTTTAAAGAATTATTAGTTTAGTTTAGTTTAGTTTAGTTTCAAACATTTGTTCTATTAACCGGAATCGACTGTATTATCATTTACTTATGTAAAATATGTAGTACTTTTTAGTACTGATTAAAAAAATATTTATGCATATCATTCTGTTTGTAATAGTTAAATCTACCTACGAAGTATCGGATTTCTATCTCTACCGTTTTCATTATAATATAATATGTTGAAGTTTTTTACTACACCTTTTTCAAATGTTATTCAAAACATTTCAATTGCAATTCGAGAATTTCATTTGTAATTCGAAAACTCAATTTGCAATTCATAACATTTCACTTGTAATTCGAGTATGTAATTTGTAATTCACCACATTTCATTTGTAATTTTAAACTTTTCGTATGAAATTCAAAAAATTACATTTGAAATTTAAAAAATTTCATTCGTAATTCGAATATTTCAATTTGAATTTCGTAGAGTTTCATTTGAAATTCAAAGAAATCCATTTGAAATTCAAAGAATCCAATTTGAAATTCATAACATTTCACTTGTAATTCATAAAATTTCAGTTGTAATTCATAACAATTCATTTCAAATTCATACATATTCCTTTTGTGTTACCAATAACGTTTTTCGAATTTAAAATTAAATGTTATGAAAAACAAATGGAATGTTATTTATTTCAAATCAAATGTTAAGAATTTCAAATGGAATTATTTAAATTTCCAATGAAATTTTATTAATTTCAAGTGGAATTTTATGAATTTCAAACGCAAATACTTGGAATTTCAAATGGAAGTTTATGAATTTCAAACGGAATTCTATGAATTTCGAAAGGTATTCTCGGAATTACAAATGAAATTCTCGAATTGCAGCTGATATGTTGTGAATTGCAAATGGAATTCTCGAATTGCAAATTATATGTTGTGAATTACAAATGGAATTCTCGAATTACATTTGATATATTTTGAATAACATGTGAAAAAGGTGTAGTAGTTTTAGTGCCATTTTAATACTAGTTTCCAAATCATATTTTTGTACATCATTCTATATTTTATAGCTAAAGCAGCATACCAAATTACAGATCTATCTATCTCTACCTGTACCCCAGGGATGGAAAATTCAGTACAATAGTACTTCTTTTCAGTACTTTTTTACCCAAAAAAGTACCCTAGTACCCCCGTGACCATTTCAGTACCATTCCAATCCTTCATCACACCAATATATATATAGTTTTTGGATTATGGATTTGACCGGCAAAAGCATTGCAGATAAAGATATTGATGTGATTGCAATATGAATAGGTTTACGACTGATAACTGTTCAGTTATGATTGAAATTACAAACATTATATTAATTTATCAGTTCCAATCTTTTTTTAATCGGATATGTTTGTCAGATACTCAATTTGGCATACTCTGTGCTATCTCCTGAGGTAGGCAAATTGATTACATTCATAGTCGTCGTGATTACTTCAATAATTTCAAGAGCACTTTGGAACTGAAATTCATGTTAGTTTGGGATATATTGGCTTTCGAGAAAGACGTAGTGAAATTAAAATTAGTCAATAGAATACATATTCAAATGCAATCGAAAGAAGCCAGAATTCTCATATTATTACGATCAGAAAGATAGGCTAAGTGATGATATCCTGAAAATCAATGTTTATGAAACTGAATAAAATGTTTTTTTTTCTTGAAAAAAGTACTCTTTTATTAAAAAAGTACTCTTTTGGTACCTTTTCACATTTTTAATTTTCCATCCCTGCTTGTAATATAATATTTAGTTAATTATTTCACACATACCACTTCGAATATCATAGACAAAGTTGTGTACCAAATTTCAGAGTTTACTTCTAACCGTTCCTGTGTTATAGTTTTTAGTACATTTTAGTATTTAGTAAATTAATTTTAGTAAATTCATATGAATATCTCATACACACCATGATTGGGAACATGACCTAATCTAACACTTAAATTTAAAAGCAGAAATGTGTCACCATTTACATATTTCTTTCTCGTTTTGTCTATGTTGGCCCATATCCAAAATCTATTTTCTGCCATGATGTGCCTGATTCCAAGATCCGATTTGGAAAGACAGATGACTGGCGTAGAAAATTTTGTTTGTGCAACATTCCTTAATACATTACATTACATTTGAATAATCGCCAAATGGCAGGAATTTGCCTTCTCTGGGAAACTTTATAATAGCTATAGGGGAATCCACTTTAATATTCCCTATCATTTTAGAGAAGCTACATGTTTATTATCATTTTTAGGATAAAAACAGCAAGGAATGTAGCAAATTCGGACGGGCCGGGAGCTAAATCTGAGCCATGCTAGCCATGCTATGCATATGAATTTACAGGAATACGGTTGAAAATGTGTACAATATCCTCAAAATATCGAATATTAGCGGGTACCGTTATATGGGGACACACGGAAACATTGGTCAATACTAATAATTTTTGGTACAGACATAAACTATGCAATGACAACCTAAAAATTATTAATATTGGTCAATATTAATAATTTTTTGGTACGGACATGTGTTATTCAATGAAAAACAAAACTGCCAAATAACAGCCAATTCGGTTGGAATATTTGTCTGAAATCCCCAAAATACCAAGTATTGGGGAGTACCGTTATATGGGTTCTACCCTGAAACTTGGGTTAATATTATTTATTTTTGGTACGGAGGTGTGCTGCACCATGAGAATTCGATTAGAAAACGTGTCAAAAATCCTCAAAATACCGAATATTGGGGTTTACCGTTATATGAAACTACACCAAATGGTCTGATATATGGGAAATTACAAAAATCTTTTAAATTCCTTGAAACTGAGGTTTGCAAGTTTATAACTCGCGAAATATGAACATATTGCATATAATTTAAATTCATTTCTACAAAATGAATTGTTCTTGTCAAAATCTTAAAATATTGGTAATAAATAATAAGTTGGGTGGAAGCTGTGATGGTGGTAATGTAGAAAAATGGGTTGAAGCCAACGAGTTTTTTTGTGTTCTTTCCTCATTTGTGGCTAAACTACACAACGCACGCATATGTGATCAGTGACTAAGTTTCAGAATACCCCATGGACTATATGGTTCTATTGTATGATTTTTCGATATAATCTATAATGATAATTTTTATGTATTGTAACTGCAATATATTTAGTCATTTTTAACGTCGAAACTCTTATCCGATGAATCTACCGATATTTAACAATCATCTAAAAGAATTTGCAGAAGAAAGCGTCGTATATTTTAGAAGATTTAGGCAAACCCGTATTCCCTTAACCATACTAAAAATCGAAAATTCAAATAAACGTTTTGTCTTTATTAAAAAAAATATTTTATTTTATTTTCAGATATCTTCATGCTTCTATTTGTTTTTCGCGACTATTATACCCTATTTCCATGTGATTTGACAAGTATGCAAAGAAAACAAATGTGTTTATCCGTTTGTGAACAAATTCGCGAATTACAACAAATAGGAATTCCTTTAATTTATATTTGAAATACAAGATTTAAAATCGCTATAACTTTTGTGCGCAGCATCCGAATTTGTGAACGCAAACAGATTTCGTAACAAAAATCATAAATGTGCTCGCAATAAAATTTTTCAATTTTTTTAATGGAATTTTAAAAGAATTTTGTAATTTCCCATATATTTTTGTCTATAAAAATGTTATTGCATTAAATTTCAAAAAAACTTTAAACTGCGAATAAAAATAACTTGGCGGGTAATGTGGACCAGTATGTGTGGGTAATGAGGATCAGTAAATTAAAGGTTGGTTGTGATAAATTTCAATTTATTGCACTCTGGGTAACAATGAATGCAAAAATATATGGGTTCATGTTTTGGAATAGTCCCCCTTTAAGGGTACCGCCCCATCACCTGTAATTTCGCATATCGAGATTTCATGAGGACGAGTTCGAAACATGGGCGCATTTAATATGCGAGGAGGTGTTCCTTGCATATTAAATGCGCCCATGTTTCGAGCTCGTCCGAAGTTACTCTATTGTGTAAGAATTTTATTGTTTAAATAAAATTTATCCTAGCATTACATCAGTCGGATCTCTGAATGCATGTACCTACGTACATGATTGGCTGTGAATATACAATAAATAAATGCCTTAAAGACCATAGTCCAAAATTTGCGTATTCAAGCAAATTTAACCTTATCCCATTTCAATGCAGTGATTTTACTTACGTTTACATTCAGATAGGTAAATGATTTTGGCTTACCTGGACTGAAAAAATTGCAAGTGTTTGTTCAAGTAAGTCAAAGCTACTTTATTACCATTCTTGCTCTTGACCTTTCAAATGAAACAGTTATTAAGTAGTTGCAGTAGATAATTTTTATTTATTTAATAAAAACAACTAATCTTACTAGTCTATGCTTTAGCATTATAAATAGAATATGTTTACTAAATTTATACTTTGTATTCGATAAATTACAATAGTTTGCAATCGGGATCTCTAGAGGGAAAAGTCTTTACCATAGTAATAAATGTCTTTTGTTGTCCTCGGTATCTTTACAACGGACAATATTGTGTGTGTGTGTATTTGTGTTAATTGGCAAGAGTGTCGTGTTTGTGTATTCGTGTTGGTGCATATATGTACTATTCTAAACGTCACTGCGTACGTATCAATGGAATGCATTCTCTACTTATTTACTAACCGAAATGATATCGGTTTCAAAATTAAACTATTATTTTACATGGACATGTGTGTACATTAAAACGATCTTATGAACAATACTAGGTATGTAATTGAATACCTTTGACTTACTGCTACATACATATGCATATGTACATATACATAAAAAGTGTACCATTATAGAACTAAATGCAATTACTATGAATCCTTTTGGGTGTGCTGCGCCACTGTGTGGGTGTGCTGCGCCAGTGCGCGTCGGGAGTTAAGAAAGCGTTTCGAACGCTAGTAATTGTGTGTATGATATTGGTTTTATCATTTTTTATCGTTATCTAACTTGTTTTTATCAAGAGATGAGGATACCATCCCTCCTCCATTCGACGGATATAATTTCTCCAAATAATTAAGAGACTCGTTGAGGAAAGTCTGTTATGTTATAGGAAGTTGGTATTAATTGAGTTTTACAATTGCTAAGTTAACATGCAATGCAACCTACCTGAAATGCGTGAAGAACAGCCATAATGGCGGGTGATCCAAATCCATGGGTAATCAACGAGAAATGTGTTAAATGTCGTTGCATTGATGGCTCCAATAGATGCTGTGACCGTGTTCCGTATTGTGTGGTGCGGTCCTGGCTAAGTACCTGCATTAGTTCCTTGGTAATCTGATAAAAAAACAATATAAATTGGATAAATGGTTAATGGATACACAATGAAAGTCAAATGTTAGAAATGCTTTATGTCATAACACAATTTAATGGTAGAGTTTTAAATTAGTAAGATTACAAAGTGGATCTGTTTTATCTGTTTATTGAATCACGTCGGTAAAAAGGAATATAATCAACAGCCGCAAATCTAGTGTTATTAATATTCTTGTTATACACATTATTTATTGGCTAATTTTTTCATAAATATTCCAATTTTGTACTTCTCCGTTAGTTCGTTTGGTTTTAAACATTTTTATATTTAGATCAGACAGAAGGATTGAAAATGTTAAAAAAAAACTCTTTCTTCGTTTCTAACATCTTTTAAAGTTTGCCAATTGTACAAACATGTTTAAAACACACTTCCGGTTAAATACGCATGAAGATAACTATATATGTTGATTTATTATAACGTTTTAAGCTTTTTTCAGCACTTATTTCAATGTTTCTTTTTTGTGAAATAATTAAAGAAATAATTACTTCAATTTATTATTTACCTGTTGCGAGTGCAGTAGGAGCTCCTTCCGCCTATATGATTCTTGCGGTTCCGTATTGTGCCGTACAATGTATTCTGCCAATTGTCTCGCAGGAAATTCAGTTTCACATACAAAGTGAAAATCCTTCGCTAAATGTGCCGCTTCTCCTTCTACTAAAGATGTCAAGAGCGTGACATTTGCTGCTTTACGTCTGCCCGCTGGTAAGTTTAAGCCGATTTTCTCCAGTTTTTCTCTCAGAAGCCTGCCACCGTTCTTACTCTTTGCTCTATATTAAACCAAAAATTATATGTTACAAAATTATTTTGTGCTAAAACGGACATGGATCCACGTTAAACAAACCTCCTTAAAACACCACCCAGCAGGGATGCGTTTAGACATTCAGGGGGAGATAGCCTTCTTTGCACTTCAGCAATGGTTACCTTATATTTTGAAGTGCTAGACAAAAGACTCAGACGGCCGGGAACAGCACAAAATACCTCGCTGGGCGAACCTGAGCTAATATTTCCTACATCCTTCCCACTTTTCATACCTACAAAAGAAATACAATACAAATGTTAGAACCATAGTGGTGATCATGTCGAGCAATCCTGCCAATTAGAGGTCATGTTACATTAGGCATGTTAGATGAGCTCTCGCTCTCTTCATTGCTCTCCGTCAAAAAGGAATATTAACATTTCATTGTTCTTTGGCTGTTTAAAGTAAATACACTCTACCCCAAATACACATCCGGGTGTTTGTTAGTAAACGCCCATATTGTTGTACCAATTTTTGCACAACATTTCTACATGAAACCACAACAGAGATTTACCATCAGATCCGTTGTTGTGAATGTGTACTTATGTGTACAGAATACATACAATAATATGTATGTGTACTTACTCTTAATTAGAGGTAGATCTGACATAAAGGCTACATTGTCGTCCATGCCTGGGTTTTGGCCGTCGTCTACAGCATTTTGAAGAGCTTGATGTAAAGCTAGCGGATCGTGATCATGTCCAAGGCGCCCTCCATGTGTTGTTCCAGTTGATATCGCACTGCCATAATCCCCGCGGCGGTCTGAATATGGAAATCCATGTGATAGCTGTGTCTGAGGAGAATACTATGAATTAATAAAATATCTACTTATTATTATCTGAACTGAACGTGTATAGTGTCAAAGGATATGTATCAAGAGTTTCGGAAAAAAAATTAATAGAAAATATCGTAATCAAATGGCCAAAATTCGAAATCCTCCTAAATTTATAAATATTTGTATTTTTATATTTTGCAAGAATATTATTTCAACTATTTAATATTTTAAGCACTTTCATGACATTCGGAGGCAAAATGAATGTTTTAATCTTTAATAAATCAAACACAATTAAATTTTTTACTTGTATTTTTTGTTGTATTATTGGGACACTATCGGTGGTAAATAAATTGAGAACATCTGGTTTTTATCTATTGAGATAAAAGCCACAAAAGAGCGGTTGAGTGAACTTTACATAAAATTTAAAATTTTGGCCAGTCCTCTTATTATGGGTCACTCACGCGACATTTTTAATTTCGCAGGTTTTATTTCTGCAATCTTTACATTGGTAGTTTTTAGTTTTATGCTTAGTTTTTATGCTACGAACAAGAAGAAAAATGAGAAATATTTTTTTTCTTTATAATTTTTCCTGCTACTTCACGTATCTAAGTACAATGAAAGAAAAAGTCTTCGACTTTGGTTTACCTTCTTTCGGAAATGCCTATATATAACCCACCCATTTACAAGTCACTTGTCCCAAAAGAAAATATATCTGGATTAATCATTCGATGTCTACATGACCATAATAAAGTTCGGTTTATTATCATCAACATTTATTTGGTTTCATGTAAAATCGTCCGATCAAATAGTCAATCCTCCATACATCACAGCCTTACGAACTGTGATTGAAGCAAATGGTTGAGAGTTCACGTTCGAGTGTGTGTGTCTCACAAAACGTTAAGGGATAACATAAAGAGCATAAGAATGTCTATGAGCAACAAGAAAAAAAGACGAAGAAGACAAGGATAACAAATTGTTGAAATATTTTGTAGAAAATGTTTATGCAAAAGTTCGTTTATTACAAGCAAATAAATAACACACTTGCCTTCGGAGTTTAAGGTTTGTGGTGTTTAAGGGTTGAATTATGCTTCAGCTTGGCCAATCTCAAGTACGTCGAATGCCAACAAGCAGATATTGGAGGGTAATTATGAGTATTTAATGGAAGAAATTGCCAACTGAAAATGGGGTTTGTATCAGATAACCCTGTTAATAAATGAGTTGTCTTGACTGACTACTACGTACACATGAACTGATGCCTTGTTTTTGTTTGAGAGAATTTCTCAAATTCTTTGTACAAAGATTATCCCAAGAAAATGTGAGGAATGTTGCAAAAATTTTAGCTCAATGTAAATAGGGTGTGGGTCTGTGTCAGATGTTATATGTAGTCCCTGCAATGGATTACGCGGGGAGTTGTTGAACTCAAAATGAAAAAGCAAATAACACAATTGCAACTACATGAATATGATTATACATACCACATGTCCCTGGAGTTCGGCTTCTCTGTGGGATCTGTGAATGCCCAATTGATCCTGAGTAGACCTCAGACCAGCTAATTGATTGTAGTGGTGGAGGGGTGTGTGATGCAGCGTAGGTAATGGTTGGCCATATGGATCTGTTCCCAGGTACTCCAGAGCTCCATGATTCTGTAAGTATGCAGGTATCTAATCATCGTTAGTATAATTTTAATGTTATATCATATATTTATTTAATAAAACAAATAACTTCTTCAAATTAGCAATAATTACCTGTTGTTGTGGAGGACTCTGTGTAGAATGATGAAACGGAGGTGGGAAGTACGGAGGTTGAAAGTCGGATTGCAATGATTGATGATGCATTGTAGCCGCCGAACTGTGAGTTCCGCTATGACCACCGTGGCCAGCTGTCGGACCACCTCTACTAGCATGGCTACCAGTGTGCGTTGTATAGGCTGGACTGTTGCTTGATAGCCCCAAACTGCCGTGACTAGTCAAACGTTCCTAAAATATAATACAAAAACATTCATTTTTTATCGATATAATAAATATTACGTAACTTTCAAATCCTTATTTAATTAAAACGGATGTATATGCCGTGGCATAATCACAGAAGAAGACCATGGCATAATTACAGAAGGTAGTCTCATCTATGTATGTCGATTGGCATATTTTCAGTAAATTAAACAAAATATATTTTCTAAAATTGAACATTGCTCTCAAGATTTAACCATGGTTGTTGGTTGTTACATTGTATATTTATAAGTTTTAGAGGCAGGAAATTTCAAAATATTTATAAATATAAATTATTTAGCAAATTTTTGTCACTGAACACATGATATGCGTACATTTCGAAGGAAGATATTTTCATTTAAATTTTGAAAGCTGAATACTGTCAAAGGAAAATTTATGAAAAAATTGGAAACATTTGACTACATGGGACTACCTTGTATAATTATGCCATGATTTACCAAGTTAACCTACTTTATGAGGATTTATTTGACATATATGCAAAGGAATCGACAATTGAAACCCACTGGCTTTACGAAATCCGGTTAAATGTAAACGTACTTGATATATATTAAAATAATAAAATTAATATCACTATCTGCCAAATAATGTTTCGAAGACCTTTATTGAATTGAATATCTTCTAGACTGCCTTGGGTTGTTTGAGGGATATTAAGAAAAGATTTAAATTTCTTGACTAAGGTTTGCAACTTATATTAAACCAGTAAGGAAAGTAGTAAAGTCGGACGGGGCCGACTATATGATACCCTTCACCACTATGGGTATATTAAACAGGACTATTAACATGAAATTGGATGAAATAAAATATGTGATATTTATCTAAATGTGAATCTACCTAGTTTTATCCATAAAGTATGTAAATCGACTTCAAACAAACATAAATAGGTTATCCGTTGGGCTATGTCTGTACTTCTACAAAACGCAACTACGTAATTCTATGCTCAATTTTGTAAGTTGTGCAAAATTTCATGTCAATTTGACTAACTGATGAGTTTGATGCCCAATTTGCTTGAAATCGGGCGAAAATATATGTGGAAGCTCTACCCAAATATTAAGCGATTTCAAACAAACTTGTCACAGGTTACCCAAATATTAAGCGATTTCAAACAAACTTGTCACAGGTTACCCAAATATTAAGCGATTTCAAACAAACTTGTCACAGGTTAGGTTATACTAATTTCAGAACGTTTTGTTCCTATCAGCCTATTGGTTCCTTGGTGCGTCAATCAATCTAAAATCAATCTATAATAGAACGGAGCTATATCTAAATCTGGGCCGATTTTCACGAAACAAGGCAGACATCACTCAAGGCTCAATTCAGTACGTTATGCCAAATTTCGTGCAAATCGAAGGATATATAGGGACTTTGGTGCACCATTTACATGAAATCGGACGAAACTATATATGGGAGCTATATCTAAATCTTGACCTATTTTCACGAAACTTGGCAGCCATCATCCTAGACCTAAATGATTAGGCTGTACCAAATTTCGTGCAAATCGAAAGATATATAGGGACTTTGGGGCACCATTTACATGAAATCGGACGAAACTATATATGGGAGCTATATCTAAATCAGGACCGATTTTCATGAAACTTGGCAGACATCATTCTAGGCTCAATTAAGTACGTTATGCCAAAATTCGTGAAATTCGAAGGTTAATAGGTACTTTGTGCACCATTTTCATGAAATCGGACGAAACTATATATGGGAGCTATATCTTTATCTGGACCGATTTTCTCGAAACTGGGCAGACATCATTCTAGGCTGAATTCAGTACGTTATGCCAAGTTGCGTGCAAATCAAAAGATATGTGGGGACTTTGGGCCACCATTTACATGAAATCGGACGAAACTATATATGGGAGCTATATCTAAATCTGGACCGATTTTTACGAAACTTGGCAGACATCATTCTAGACCTAAATGATTAGGCTGTACCAAATTTCGTGCAAATCGAAAGATATATAGGGACCGTTTACATTAAATCGGTTAAATAAATATAAGGGAGCTATATCTAAATCTGAATCGATTTTTCCCAATTTCAATAGGGTTCGTCCTTGGGCCAAATAAGTGACCTATGCTAAATTTCATCCAATTCGGATTATAAATGCGACCTGTACTTTGTTTACAATTTTACATCGACAGACAGACGGACGGACGGACGGACATGCATAAATCGACTCAGAAAGTGATTCTATGCATATTCTCAAAAGGAACCATGTGTCTATTTCGTTTCCTTTTGCCTGTTACAAACATATGCACAAAGACATAATACCCTGTACCACAGTGTGGTGAAGGGTATAAAAATCCAAATGATATAAATGCATGTGTTGGTGGTATTGCATCACTTTTTCCTTTTTGGCTGAGAATACTAAAGATGAAGGTTATTTATCCATATATTTGTTTACGTTACATTACAAGGCTTATCGAGGCCGGGTCAACTAAAATTTCATATATATAATATTTTATAAATATTTTATTGGGCATTCATTTGTAGGGTGGAGATTTCCATCACTATGCAAATAAGGGTTCAAGCCAACAAGGTTTTTATTGTTCATTCCTGATTTGTTACAGAACTACACAATACACACACATTTGTAGAAAGACTAAAGAAAATACCCAATATGGTTATAACGTATGCTTTTTCGATATATCCATCCAATAAACGGGACGCGTAACCAGTTAATACAACAATTTGATTATAAAATTAGTGATCCTGCTTCTCAAAAATGTGACCCACCACATTTTCTTAGTAATTGGAGATGAAAAACATTTCATTAAAACCCTATTTTTGAATCTAATGAGCCCAGCTGTGTTCGTATTTTAAAAGCGATGTGTTTCGGCACCCATTAAACTTTAACGAATTTTAAAAATCATTATAAGGGACTGTGGTAATTACGACATCAATCTTAAATTATCTTTAAGGACGTGTGTGGCCTAGACCAAATCGTGTTATGTTATTTCTGAATGTAATTTCTGGTGTAATTGGTTGTCAAGACATAAAATTGCCGCACTTAGGACTAAGAATGGCGTTTTGGTATGATTTATGACCCGGTGGACTTATCTGTGGCGACCGTAATAATGACATGATAACCGTCTAATTGAAATCACAAGTTGACACCATTTCCATTGAAGTAACTCTTCGGTAAACAGATAATTTCACGTTCTGGGTCAATCTATTGACAACAAAAATCCTATGATATTACATCGTTAGACTTTTGCCTGTGGTAATATGTAAAGTCTAAAGTTTATGAGACAATTCTGCATCGATTCAGGCTTTGACTCACGCGTGTGAGTTATTAGTTGTAATGATTGAGCAAAACGTCGAAAAATGGACACCACAGATGGATCGTATTTGATAGATACAATCATCACAATTGAGAAAAAAAAAATATTCTTTCTAATAATAATAAACGTTCCCCATTCAAATAGAATTGTATGTGTGTTTATTTTTCATTAAAAAATTAATTAAAAATTAAATATTTTATAAATCAAACAAAATTTTTGTTTGTAATTCCCACTTAATATATTTAGTAATATTTTACGAGTACTATGAAATTGCCACAATGAAAATTGCAAGTATGAAGTGTATATCAATTATGTAGTAGTTTTATAAAATGATATAAGTAACATTTTATGTCGATATAATCATGACATTCTGAATGTTAGAATCATGAACGAGCTTTGGAATTTTGGTCATACATTCTCAAGACTTCTAAGATAAACCTGTATCGGTCTATAAACCTGTATCGTGGTGTACATTCAAAATTCCTTAAGGCGGTCGGATAATTTATATGGGGACTATGTTACAGCATGCGGTGGTAGTAGGTTATTCATACTCTTAACCCTTTCAGTGTCAAACATTTTTTTGTCGGAATAAAAATCTCAAGTTTTGTATTTAAAATCATATAAAGGCATAGAGTTTAGAAAAAATAGCAATTTTTATTTTAACCCTCGGACAGTTTCGTCTGTCTTCCAGCAAAAACAAAAACATCAATAGTAACGGTACATAGGATAACCGAAAAATCGCAAAGAAGAAGAGTACTTTTAAATTTCGAATATATTCGACAAAAACCCTTCAAGGGTTAAAGAAATAAAGTTCAAAAAAACGTTCACATATGGTGTCTAATTTCTGAGAAGAAGTTTTTTATTCACCTGTAATCCTTTATGCCAAATTATAGCCACTTCGAGGTGAAAATTCGGTCAAAGATTTAAAAAATATTAAAACATGGATTATTAAATAGAAGCAATTGAAAAACTAGACAAATGTCTTCAAAATACCGAATATTAAGCGGTACTGTTGTATGGGAGCTATGAGCATTTTCAATAACAAACATTCATAAATATTGAGGATCCCTAATATTAAATAGAAGCAATTCTGTTGAAAAATGTGCCAAATATCTTCAAAATACCGAATATTTGGGAGTACTGGGGGCTACCCTAAAAAGTGAACTAATATTGAGCATTTTCAATACCAAAAATACAAAATTTCAAAGCTCATTTATTAATATCTATCGTGGAGGGTAAATAACGCTTACTGAATGTTTCTAATATTGGAAAACCTTTTAAATATATAAGTAATATTTTATTTAATTCCGAATCCTACATCAAGACTATTGATGCCTATCTTATATGTGCCTTTATTTAAATTTATTTTATATTATATATACGAAGAAGGCAAAACAATGTTGAAATTAATGACATAATTTTCTAAATCAACAATTTTCTAATCAGAATCAAATTGTAGATATTCAGAACTGTTGTTTTAGGGGAGCTCTGATGAATGTCAAGATATTACAAACGATCCGTATTAGGCATTATGTTCCATTAGTAACAGTAATCTATTAAAGTAAGTCGATGTCCGTTAAAATCAGCACAAGAAAGGAGGTTATGTATTTTTAAAATTGTTATGCTGCACCTAATTATGTTGAAATGTATGCTAAACTTCTGATGTAACGTTTATCTATACCA